TTGGCCTGATTTACACAATAATTACTCCTTTATTATAAATAATAGAAAAAAATGGTTCAGGACTTTTCGACTCAGTTTTACTCCTTCTACCTGCCTACGAGAGATTGTACGGCAATTCTGGGACACCCTGTATACTTATAGACACGGCCTGTAGATATGAATCCACGAGTCGAGGTGAAGCAAAGATAATATCATCTACGTGACACGTCACATGTGGGCATTTCAGCAATGGCTAAACGCGGCCTCGTAGATGATATTATCTTATCCTCAAGGCGGTTATCTGAAGCCGTCTATAAAGCCTATGTCACACTACGGATTGGGATTGAGATTAGATTGAAATTTGACCAATTAGAAAAAAAGAAAACCAATCCCAAGTTTAGTGATCTTCTATCTGATTGGCCAAATTGCAATCCAATCTCAATCCTAATCCGTAGTGTGACATAGACTTAAACGCGCCTTTGGTTTGCCCACATGTGACGTCATGTAGATGATATTATCTTTGCTTCAAGATAGTTGTCTGAAGCCGTGTCTATAAGTATATATGGTCTAAGGTTGCGACTGTGTCTCTTGTTGGCGTCCCAAGATGGCGCGATCGGTTGGACGAATCCGCGCGCTCGACGCGCGATCGTTGCGTATCGCGCTTTAATTTTTCGAGACACTCGTCTCGAAAAACTTGGCCTTAGTGCTCGCGCACATATATATATATATCGAATCGATCATCAAAAAAAAAAACGAAGAAATTTCGCATCGCGCGCTGCGGTTTTTTCGCGGAGCGGCTCGACGAGCCTCGGGAAAAAAAATTGTGAAATCGGATCGCGGCGAAGCTGAGACTTTTCCCGAAGAAGTCGGGGAAAAAGAAGAAAGAAAACTGTGCGCCGCACACGCGCGATTCCGTTCTATATGATACAACAACAATAGCCGCGGCGAGTGAGATTTCGGCCGCGCGAGAGTAAGATCGCACGCGAAGAGGAGAGGAAGAAGATCGCGGACTTTCGCTCGCTCCTTTTCCCCGCGACTCTCTCTCTCTCTCTCTCTCTCGCTCGCTTTCGTCGAGGAAAAGATTTCTCCGCGTCGGTTCGAGAGAACGAAACGGCGTCTATTAGCATCGTCCCGATCCGAATTGACTTCCAAGTGAAAAAAAACATCCGTCGTTGGACACGATCGCGCGTCCCGTCCGAGCGAATAGGTGAGTGAAGAGGTTCGTTCGCTTAAGCTGAGTGTTACACTTCGTCTGCACTCTCGAAACGAGAGACAGCTGTATTGTTTGACGTGCGACGAAGGAAAATTAAGAAGAGAACTTTCTCGCGAAAGTAGCGAAAATAATCGAAAAAAAAAAGAAAAATACGCGGCTACTCTCTTTTGCTCTCGTCTCGTCTAGGCGAGGAGGATGCGCTTTTGCTCAGGAAAGTTTCTTCTCGGCGTTTTTTTCCCAAACGATTGAACCTCGGTTAGGCGATAGGGGGAATTGAAGGGAATTGCCGTCTAGCTGGGGATCCGCACGTGAAGATCCTCCGCGAGTTCCGTGGGTATTTTTTTGTTTGCGCACATTTCCCACAACGGTTAGGTAGGAACAACAATATGGTTCTGTATCTTTTATCTTGAGAGAGATGATAGATAGATGCTGCAATAAAATAACAAGCCGAACTTACTTAGTGTTGATGTAAATTGAATACCGCAAAGTTTATCAAAAAATTTTGTGTCGTTAGATAATATCCTAAACATAGTTCCGCTTGATGTCATTGAACACTTAACAGATTATGAAAGAACCAATGTACTCTCGTTGTCGATTATTATTTGTTGATGTTTGTTGCGTTGATTCCCATAGATCTTTCTTTGTTTTCAGAATGGCTCGTGGACAGCAAAAGATACAGTCCCAAGCTAAAGCTGCAGAAAAAAGTGCGAAGTTGAAGAAACAACAAGGCCACAGCGCCAATGAACAGAAGAAGGCAGCCCAGAAAGCGCTTGTTCATGTGTGTACTGTATGCAAGGTCAGAATCTTTGTTGTTGATCATTTTTATTTATTTAAAAATGCTCAGTTTTTTTTTGTGTGTGTAACACGTAACAAATAGTTTCTAATTCCTGTGTTTTTTTTTGTTCTCAGGCTCAAATGCCAGACCCCAAGACTTACAAGCAACATTTTGAAAACAAACATCCCAAGAACGAGCTGCCTGACGATTTGAAGAATATATGAGAATATAAACTGTTGTATAAAAAGTGGGGATTGGATAGGGAGCGGAGAAAAAAAATGCTGACGCAACTGACAAAGTGATATATAGTTCAACATTCATCTGATCATTGCATAGTTTCAGAATAATAATAAATTAATACCTTGTTAGTGTTTTAACTGATCTATCACACACTCACTTGACATTGTTGCGCACAACTCAGAATGTTAAACATTATTGCGGATTCATTTACGTAAGATATATTGCTTTTTAAGAAGTTAACAGTATCCACAAATATACATAGCCAAGTCTTTTCATACAAAAACGTAACTAGCTCTGCGTGTATGTTTCTAAATAAAGTTCGTAAACTCTTGGTAAAAAAAATTTTGACAAAATATATTTTACCATAAAAAAAAAATAAAAAAAAAAACATGTAGCATTAATTTCCTTTTTCTGTTGGTACGGAAAGAGAATTTATATATAAACGAGTGGTGCAAATATATATATACAGAGTAATATAAATGAGAATCGAAGAGTTTATAAATTATTTTCTCTATATATACGTATTGAAATGAAGACGAGTTTGTATTGAGATTTAGTATAAGTTGAATTTAAAAAAAAAAACAAACAAACAAAAAAAAAGATCTGTTATGTGTACGCAAAGAACGTTTCTAAACATTTTTAGTTTTCTTACTGTGAGAAGGATTTTTCCACACTGATCTTGTTGCATTTACCTAACTAAACTTTTGTATTTTGATGTATGATTTTACAAACGTTCAAATTATAAGGTTGAAAAAAAAAAAAAAAAAAACCAAAACCGTTGTTAACTGTATAACTGCCAATTTATAGTGTTGATTGTATTTCTTATGCTCTTTAAAATAAGAACAATATAAGTCAAACGGAGACACACGTTATTACCATAGCCCCGTTCCCCATAAAGATGCTAAAAAAGTTTTTACTTCCGTTGCTTTAAATTTTTATTATTTGTATTGTATATTAAGTTACCTATATTTTTTCTGTCATACAAAGAAGGTCTAAACCTTCGTGGACAGACTGTAAAAATGATCTAGCGAGTTGGACAGACTAAAGTCTCTGTGAGACTCACGCGATTTTAAAATCGAATCTTCGCAGAATCAATAATATTTTTTTAATTTTGATTTATTGAATCAAAATTGAACGTTTGAACGATTCTGCGTCGATAAAAAAAAAAAATTGAAGAAGCCTTTAATAGTTTAAAGCCTTTAATTTTTATTTTTCTTACTAGGGACACCGATACGCAATTTTTTAGTGGGTCTGAGAGACCCATGTCTGTCCGCGAAGAGTTGGACTTTCTAGAAGATAATGTGTATTATCCACTTATAAAAAAAATACAAATGCGTACTTACGTAAGGTAACGTAAAAATGATGAACTGGAAATATAGTAGTTTGTATGGCATTGTTATATATTTATACATGATTATGCACATAAAAAATGTATAAAAACACACACGTGTGATATACCATAGGCCTCAATAAAGAAACTATTTTGTAGTTTTATTGTGATATATTATTCTTAATAAGTTTGTTGTACATACGTGACAAGAAAATGAATGAACACAGGTGAGGATGTTGTACGTACGTACACCTATATACATGTTTGTGCATATCTGTATATATATGACATTTGTTTTGCAATTAAAATTTATTAAAAAATTTTCAATAAACGCGTCATATAGTATAAATATTACTTATTGCGTATATATATTCGCGGGTCTCGATCTGATTATCTTCCCACTCTTTACTTCTTACAAATATATATTCTCTGTGTTATACAAGTCATTGAAACGCGCAAAGTCACTGTGTATATGTTGCGTCATTATACAGAATGTATTTCTGGATATAATAATGACGTCGCAACATAATGTAAACCTTTTGCATTGCGCTATAGATTCTTATCTTATTTATATTTTAATAAAAAAAACGACGTTTGCAATTATAATATATTTATTACGCGATATTTTTATTACATTATAAATATATATTTCTATATTAGAAATATATATATTTATTTATTTATCTATATATGCATTAATATGTGTTTATATTAATATATTATTACATTGAAGGAGAAGAACTTGTCAAGTCAATTTTTTTCAATTTTTTGTTTTTGATGCGTTATTTGATATGTAAAATGGAGTATTTTAATTATCCAAACCGAAAGAGGGAAATTTTCTACAAAATTCCGAGATATGAGCATTTTTATAAAATACGTGTAACACAGAAATACATGTACATTTCGACTTTATGACTTATCAGAGTCTTCTCTTCTGTGGTTTTTACATATTATTACGTATTTGATAAAAACATATATAGTTTTATTTCATTAAAGACAATAAGAAATAAATATTTATTTCTTGGTTATATATATATATAACCACATCGCTGTATTAAGCTTGACACAATTATTATTTATTTTCAGATAAAACTTAAATTAGTGAGACAAAAATTTTAACGTAAATCAAATAATTAATCTTAATATTAGAAAATTGAGAAATACCGTCGCTGCTATTTCGTCAAAATTAAAGACACAGGCCGTTGTGAAGATCCGTTATAACGCATGTGAAAACTCATCTTTTCTACCTGATTATTAATTCCAACGCGCACCTAAACACGAGAATGGAAGCACTTCCTAATTATTTCAAAAATTTAACAACGTGAGACTGCACTTTTCACTTCAACTTGAAAGATGTTTTGAGAATTTCCTAAACTGTTTCACAACCGCAAAGACAACTTAAATCAGTTACTGTTTATCAACGTTACTAAAACTGAATAGTCAGTATCGCGCCTGTGACGCTGCTAATAGAAATGATTACATCATGTTGAGTAGCATGTGCGGCAAGTTTGCATGCGCGAACACTTATCGCTTACTTACCACCAGTGTGCGTATATATAAATGGAGGCTGTAGAATCATTGTGACAGTTTTTAGTTGACGTTTGACGCGATCTTCATATCGACACTGGTGGAACTAGAGTCACATTTTTTTTTTTTTCCATTGTTTGTGAAATTCTCTAAAATCGAAGATAGAAGAAAACGAAGAAAAGAAGAAAAATTCGACTTTCATCCGGTTCTTCAAAAAGAAGAAAATTGAAAAATCTCAAAGGTGCGAACATTACACATCTAATTTTTAATTTCTCTTTATTTATTCTCTTTGCCTCCGCTACTGTTAAAATTAACATGATTTTAATTGTTATAAAAGAATTTAAAAAGAGAGAAATCACCGAACTTTTCAAATATATTTTTATATATACTTAATTTTTTTAAGATTTCATTTCTCTCTCACACTTATTATATTTAAAAAAGTAAATATATAATACGTACAAATTACAACGCAAAAATATAAAAAAAAAAAACAAAAAAATTGATTCATATCTTGTACGTGATCCTGTCACTTCTTACTTAACTCTCGTGTCTATTTCGCAAAGAAGGTCAAACTGGTCACGCGATAATAATCCGAAAAAGTACAATTGTGCTTATTAGTGTAGGAAAATGTTGGTTTAATTTAAATAAAATAATAAAATAATTTAGACGTCTGGCGTTTTTAATTAAAAAACAAATATTAAAATTGAATAAAAAAAAAAAAAAAAACGAACTTGTGCAATTTGTTATAAATCTTAGTTAGAGCGCGCGAGATCTTTTGATGTCTCTTGTATTCGGCTGGTTCCGGATCTTCTCTCGGCTTTACGCCTTTTACTTCGACTCTGTTTTTCGTTTTTGAATTTGTCGGTTGAGTCGTGATATTGATAATCGACGAAGATCGTGGAGATGAGAATAGATAATATATTTGTCACCTAAATACAGTCACGCAAATATACAAGCCTGTTGTGAACAATTCGCAGTTAAACTCAACGTTAAATACACGAGTAATTAATGAAATATAATTTTGTTTCCACATTAGCAGATTGAAGCTGTAATCCGGAGATACATACAAATCTTTTGGTTTTCCCAATTTCAATTAATTTATTATTATCATCACACCATAATTTTGCATTTAGTTTTTTTTACAATTAATTTAAATTTCGGGTGACGCGAGACCGCGTCGTTAATCGGATAATTACGCAATTATCTTTAATTCCGCGCCGCCGTTCGTGCCAAGGTGCACTCTCGGTGTATTTTGAAAGCCACCCAGTCTGAGAATCCTGTGCCAGCATGTGGCGCCGGAGAGAGCGAGGATTATATATCCTTCTCTCGTTTAGCAGCCTCGCGCAAGGCTCGATGATTCTCGTCGGAGAGAGTCCTTGATTGCACCACGCGAGATAACAACAATTTATGCGAGACGGCTGTGAAGAAGCCATCTGGCCGATCTCTCGCGAACAGAGACTTTATGGCAAATGGTTAGTGTACTTCGAAATTCAACTCCCCCCATTAGCGAGATGTGTGAGTTACGAAGTTTAACAAGAGAGGAGAGAGAGAGAGAGAGAGCCGTTTTTCTCTCCTATCATTTTGCGCCGCGTCATTGTGTCACATTATGTGACAAAATAAACAATAAATAAAAAAGAATTCTTTATAGAGTGTAGACGTAAGAAAAATTGAGAAATTTTACAGAATTTTTCTTTCAATAAATTTCCTTTTTAATTAATCTTCGTCTCTTTTTGAAAAAAAAAGAAGGAACAAAAAAAAACAAATGGTTGGTTTTTGCAAATGTGTCGTAAAGGTGTTCTCGCTTCCTCGCACGTGATGGTGGATTCCGTGTTCCGTACCCGATCCCTCGGCACGCCAGCCGAGGGTGTCGGAGATCAATACGCGGACGGCAAGGCCGCGAAGGTCTGGGAGGTCTTCATCGGCGACACCAAGCAGCGTACGCAAAATTACCGGGACTTCCTGGTGGGTTTGCTGCGGCAGAAGGGATGCCGCCGAATATTAGACGTCGCCTGCGGCACCGGCGTTGACTCCGTGATGCTGCTCGAGGAAGGTTTCGAGGTCGTCAGCGTCGACGCTTCCGACAAGATGCTCAAGTACGCGCTGAAATCTAGGTGGGATCGCAGGAAGGAGTCTGCGTTCGACAACTGGGGTGAGAAAGTTGAACGTTTTTCCTTACCTCAACACAAAGCTCGCGGAATTTAATTAAAACTCTAGAAAAATGCTCGGAAAGAAGGAATAAAAAATGTTTTTTTCCATGTAAAATATATACATATATATATACATTTTTCTTTCCGAAACGTAAAAAAGAAAAGGATATATCGCAAAAGACGGAAGTAAAATTCTGCAAATTAAAACTGAAAATAGCTAGCGTAAAAAAAAAGAATGTTGCGAAAGACCAAGGAAGTGAAATTTTGCAAATTAATTGAAAATATCTTGTTCTGACATTATCTTATTTTTGTTCCGAAATATTAATACGATAACACATAACCGGATGTAACGTAAAGATAAATTATTTAAATCGATGCGATAACGTGAATTTTAGAGCAAGATCCGTAATTTCAACGTTACATATATAGATGATGTATCATCATCTTCGTGCGTGAGAAGGACGTGAAGAGAAATATATATGTACGTATATATTTTTCTTTGCGCACAATCAATGTTGCGCAACTGAGATAAATTAATTTAAAAAAAAAACTAACAACACGGCGCTCGCTCGGAATGAAAACACACCGAATTATTAAATTTATTCGCGATAGAAAGGGCACTTTTTTTGGAACAAAAGTTTATTTAAAAATTTACGTACTTTTAATAATTTTACTACTTTGGATTGTGCAACTTTTTACACGACGCTTCGAATTAACAGTGATCGAGGAAGCGAACTGGTTAACTTTATCCAGCGACATCAGTCACCTCGTTGGAGATGGTTTCGATGCCGTGATATGCTTGGGAAACAGCTTTGCCCACATGCCTGATTTCTTCGGCGATCAAAGAGAACAAAGGTAGTACACATTCGCGCGTTAATGTAGATCATACATTAAGATTAAGTTTTTATCTAATACTGTGAGATATATATATACATATGTATATCACGAATCAGCAAACGAAGTATGTTTCGCAAATCGCGTGGCTCTTCAAAGATAAATTAAATTAAAAAGCAGAAAATGTGTGTGCGTATATAAAACACACATACATAGATATATATAGATTTTGTATTATAAGAAATTAGATAGAAATAAAATAAATATCTTAGAATAAATAAATAAATAAAATTAATTAAATAGAATATTGTAGAGATCAAACAATATTTTATAGAAATGGGATAATAAAAAATATTATATTGTTTATTACTTCAGACAAGCTTTGGCGAATTTTGAGCGTTGCGTGAAACCGGGAGGTTTGTTACTCATCGATCATCGAAACTATGACTATATAATTCAAACCGGTCAAACACCTTCAAAATGTATATATTACAATGTAAGTATAATTAAAAAAAAAACATTAAAAAAATAAAACCTTTATCACTGATTCATAACATTTTAACGTTTTCTCGAGAGAATCGTTGTATTGCAAAATCTTCCGTGTTGCAGAGTCAGTACACGACGGACATCAAGACGTCGGTGCTCTATGTGGCCGGGAAACCGATGATCGTTACGATGGACTACGTGATATCTTTGAACAACACGAAAAACAACAACGACGTTCCCGAGATCATTAGCGAGTTCCGATTGTCGTATTATCCTCACAGACTGAGCGTTTTCCGCGACATGCTGACCGACACGTTCGGCCGCGAAGCGAAATACGCTATTTACGGCGACTTCAAGCCGCTCAATCAGATCGAGAATCCCGGATTCTACATCCACGTGCTGGAAAAACAGCAATTTTGAAACGAAACGCAAAAAATCTTGAACACAAGTCGGTGCAACTTACGTGTGACGTGCGTTTCTTAAATAACATTATCACGATTTTTCGGGGCAGTTGAATGTTCCACCAAATGAGACTGAATAGTGTTTAACACGGAATATATTAAGGAGTGAGTTTGTTTTTCTTTTATTTTTGAAAGATAAATAAATACTTATGCACATGCATAACCAATTTATATATATATAAATACTACTTGGATTGTGCAACAATCCAAGTAATATTAATATATATATTATATATATATTATATACACCGAAAAAATAGTATTCTTGTTTTGAGGATATCCCACTTACTTTAAGTATATTTTATACTAAAATAGGCGCCAAGAAGAGTTTCTTATTTTAAGAGGAAAATCCTCTAAATAGTAATATTGATAAGAATATATACTGATTAGAATATAAAAAGCCTCTATATATAGAGAAACATATATATCTCACTATCGAAAAAGACTATATTCTTAAATAAAGAATATATTCTTAAATAAAGAATTATATTCTTAATTTCAGAAGAATATCATCTAAAATCTTTAAGAAGATTTTTTAAGTATAAAATCTTCTACTTACGAGAATATAATTTTTTCGGTGTATATATTATATATATATTACATATATTAATATATATATATATATATATATATATATATAAATATATATATATGTATATGTACTTATGCACATACATAAGTAATTAATACCTCTCTATATTGTTAAGAAACATATTGTTATAAACATATATTATATGTACAATAAGCAAATATATATATATATACATCGTGCAAATTAATATTATTGTTATTATCCTTCTGTACACGTGTATTCTTTTCTATACACATTGAGGAAAAATGTTCTACTGCTAAAGAAAGAATCAAGTAAAAAAAAAAACATTCAAGAAAGTATGTTGCGAAAAAGGATTTTTGTTTAAAAAAAAACATGTGTTCTTCAAAATGACACACAACAGGATCGTAATTTTTTAATTCTTTTTTATTATAAGTCTGAAAGCAGCTTCTTCATTGAGTATTCTAGCCAGGCTTTGTTCGATGCTACAATTTGATCTCTCAAAGATATTTTCCGAGCGATCGTTGACGATAATTTGCTGAACAATATTGTGTTGGACGAATTTTCGTGTCTTCGCACGCATCTCTTCTTTCTTTTCGGTTTTTTTTTCTTTATTTCCCCCGCGAGATCGATGCTTCAAATAAACGTGCAAGTTCAGAGATATCAAGGAAGACTAGAACGTTTTGTTCGCACACACACGTTGCTTTTTTTTAAATCGACTTATCCGCTGCGATCTTCTCCGCGATCTCGTGGCACATTTGTGAGCTCGATCGCGAACGAGAAGGACGCATCGTTTTCGAACGCACAAATCGTCAGATTTTGTTTTTATCTCGCATCTGTGTTTATTCGTGTTATTAACGCCAGTCCGCGCGTATCCAAGAATTGACATCGGACATACTTTTCGGAGACACGCTGTTAAAACTTCGCTTAACGCGTCGTTATTTAGATCGTCAATGATCGTTCCAACTTAAAATTATCGGCGCAGGAAAATTGCTTCTCTTCTTGCGAACTCTTACTTTTTTAAGTCCGGATGGGAAGTCGCTCTCCCCCATCAGAGGTCCCGCAAAAGCTCTACAAGAGTCTCTCTTCATCGTCGTGTGTAAAAAGTGCCGCGCGCTATCGTAGAAATCGAACTCCCGCGAGGGACTGTTTTTTGTTTTTTGTTTTTTTTATAGCAGATTAAAAATTCATATTTTTGCGTAAGAGAGAGAACAATATAGGGGGGTGGGGGGAAGAGGGGGATGAGAGAAAGAGGGAGAAAGAGAGGAAGAACGATATTTATGTGAGAGGGGGGGCTTAAAACCGAGATTCGATTTTTTTTTCGTTCGATTTCTTCGACGTACTTTCTGCGGCACTGTGAAAACCAGGTAGGGAGGGGGGGAGGAGGAGAGGGACAGGTGCTTCTCGTCGAAGAAATATGATACCGAGGACATTAATTTACAAGGCCAAGGACTTGTGTCACAAGTGCAACGAACTGCCTATATAGAAAAATGGACGAAGAGTGTTATAGCAAAAATTCTTTTTTTTTTTTCTTTTTTTTTCCCCCCTTCTATATCAATATACATATGTACGTATGTGTTGTGTGTATTTATATTTTTATTTATACTTTTTTCTCCCGTGTAGTTTTTTTTCTTCTCCCTCTGTTCATTGGCTATTTTATATATATATATATGTATATATAGACTCTCTCTCTCTCTCTCTTTTTCTTTTCCACGAAATTCGTTACCTATCACGGCTTCTTCGATCGACGTTGCGAACACCGTAGTCGTCGTCGTCGTCTTCGTCGTCGTTCGTATCGAATTTCCCCATATTTATAAGATTATCGAGATCGCACGCGGCGATTGCAACACGCTACTTAGCGTGTTGTTTCGAACTGTATACGTAATAATATGTAACGTATATACATACACATATATATATGTAAATAAACGTATAAATTTGCTCGATTTAATCTACTATTTGCACGAAAAAACACAAACTTGATTTTATTATTCGCCGGTTTTACAATTCCGATTGAAATGAATGTTAACGCGGATAGAGAGATACGGGGTGATATATCGCTGATAAGAATCGCGATAATGAAATTCGATACGTTCGATGTTTGATTTTTTTTTTTTGTTCGATCTAAAGAGGAAGCGGATGACAAAGATAACAATATTGCGAAGTGTGATATGCGAACAATTGGGTTTTTTTTTTTTTTTATAATTGAGATGATCAAAGAGAGTAGAGCTTTTTTTTTTTTTGGTTCACAGCAACTTTTTCGAAGGCGAATTCGCACGGTTTGTAATATAATAAAAACTCGACTCTTGTAACGAGTCGCGAAAAAATTGACTTGTTTTCTTATTTTTCGAGCGACCAAGCGCGGAAAGTAAGGTCACGGACGACGACTCGTGTTGCAACATTGTCGTTCGAACAGCGATTGTTTGTATTATTGCGAAGGAGCTGATATAAAAAATCGTAGTAGTAATCGTATTGCGTTAATAATTCCTCTTCATGTGTTTTCAGTGACGATCTGCCCGGTGAAAGCTGCGCAATATGAATCGCGAGATGTTAGAAGAATATAGTTGGTTTTTAATTATTCTTAGATATTTTTATAAATATGTATTTTTATATATATATATATATCTTACTTTTTACATGCTATATATTTTTTTTTTTTTGACTTCTACCGCGATTATAAAATCACAAAAAAAAAAGGATGAAAATTACCGCAAGCTCTTTCAGAGTTTTTTTTTTTTTTTTTGTTTTTGTTTTTACAAAGATTCACCGCGACGAGTGAAAATTATTGCTTGCAATCGAATGACGCGACAGTGGAATCAAAG